ATCCGCTGGCAGTGATGGAAAAGCGATTTTTAACAGTAAAAATGTGAAGGCTAATTAAGTAAGACGTTGGCACGGGAACAAATCCAAAGAGCTTATGAGAGAGCTGGCAAACTTGTCAGCCCCCTCCCGTCTTCAGATGGCTCACCTGCTTTGAGGGTGAGAAAACCTCTGCCACTTTCAGAGCGTAGGCAGAAAGGGTCCCATCAAAGACCAAAAGATCCAATGCAGACCTCCATGTGTGAGGCTGTTGATCCTTCGATTACATTTTTGTTTGTGATTTGTCTGAGGCCCCCCCCCGACATAGTCAGGGGTCCGAGGCCTCTGTAATTACACTGTGCTTTTCCACCAATCAAACAGCTGTGGATGAAATGTCCTAATTACAGCCTCAGTGGAGATGGCTCCTACAGGGAATACATGTTCTGTTAGCTAACAGATTCCTGAGCCAACAGTGTTAATGAGACAGAGAACCACCAAGCCCCAATTTCCAGTAATCAGAGCACCTAGTTCTTCCTTTGTCTCAGTGTCGGCCCTATTAGAGCCAACCTCCACCTCACATCTCCATCCAGTACGGAAGATCACTTCACTGCTGCCCTCATTTCCACATTTCCTGACTGACTGTGCCTCAGAAGAGATACACCCAGCTGTTTCAAGCATTGTTCAACACAGGCTCCCACATGTGATGGTGAAGTCTCCAGGGAAGGGGTGTGTGTCTCTCCGCTGAGGGGTGAAGCTATCCCCAGCAAGCTGCTGCTCATGCTGGCCGGCAGAAGCACCCAGAGCATGTGACTGCCCCTCACATGGCACATGCAGCTGACCCATCTTTAATCGTAGCTGGTCCATCTTACAAAGGTGCATCGGGGGGCTCAGATTCATTCTGCCAATCTTCTCTTAGGCAGGAGGAAGATCATCTGGCTCAGGCTGCTGAGGTGTTCGTCTGCCCCGGCAGCAGCTGGAACTGTTCCCGGGTAAATAAATACATGGTCTGGAGGAGGGTCATTACCCCCCACGGCATGCTGATACTGTCTTCCTTCTATTTATTGCCTACTAAATGGACTTTATTGTATTACTGAAGCTATTGAGGGAATAAATCCCATTCCCAATTCAAAGGGACTTTCAGCATCCTGCAATTATCTTATGTAAATCCTGCTGTGGAATGTTGATCCACTGCTATTTAAAATGCATTGAATCTCCATGGAAAATGATCCAGTTCTGCTATATGAAGCTCATTAATAACAAGGCCGAGCCAGGCCGACATTTGGAATACTTCCACTCTTGCCTGCACTGCCACACGTGAGAACACGGCCTCGCCTTCTGACAAGACGGCACATTCACGAAGAAATGCTTTGAATTCAGCCACACAGACACATTTGTTTCCATCAAAGGAGGCAGTTTTTATTCTTCTTCCTCCTCTCACACATGTTTAGAAGTGCAGGATCCTGTAAAGCAAGCAGCAAGTGTGCAGGCCTCCAGAGGTCAGCTCTTGGTTTCTATTTAACATAAGACACAGGTGTGGATGGATTACTGAAGAAGAGTTTAAAAGTCTGCCTAAGGGTATGACAGAACTGGCTGATGGAAAATCTGAAACTCAATCAAATTCTAAACTGAAATATCAAGCAGTTTCAAAAAATCAAAAAGCCAGTGAAAAGATTTGACAAGAGAGGAGTTAGCAGGGCTCAGAGCTCCAGCTCACGCAGGCCCGTGCACAGAGACACATCAGTCCTGTGGACGGCTCGGGCTCCAGCAGCAGGTCACATGACACAGCTCAAATCAGCCCAGGCAGGGAGGGAAACCCTCAAGATCAACCTTCACGTCCTTAGACTTTGTGGAAGCTGCACCATCAGATGTTTGAAAGTTTTATGGTCAAACGACGTTTTGAACTAAGTGTTGTTGAGCCGCTTTGCTTTCAAACGGTTCACAGGCAGCTGTGGACTTACTGCACATACAAAGACCAGTCCGTCTCTGGACCAGCATATGCTCCTGCAGCTCAGGCAGCAGCCGATCCGCTCTTTGCTCTCTGAGCTGCTGGTCCAGAGGTAACTATGCACCGAGGAGCTCCCCCTGTGCCTCTCTGCTCACAGCCAGCCTGCTAATGAAGCAGAGGAAGCTGCAGCTCCATAAATCTTTTAAGCTCCATAAAAGGCCGCTCAAACCCACACCTCAGCCTTCAGGGAGGAGCTGGAGCTGGAACTGAGCACTTCAAGCCTAAAAACCACTGCAAGCATAACGAGCACTCCATATCCGTGCAGCCCCCCCAGAGCCCAGAGCTATGGTCGCACCCATGAATTATAGAAATGATCTAATTGTTTTCTCGTTTGGAATAACTGTGGATCTGCCTCCTTGTGTCTCAGTTTAACCGTTTGTGGTTTCCAGTGGGGCACTTGATTCAGGCTTGCTCACCTCCAACACTTGCCCACTCCAAGGTGGTGCTCTCTGTCAAAACAGAGCCAAGCTGAGATGGAAGTCAAAGCTCTTGTAGCAAAATAACCAGGTGCAACCAGAATGTCTCTAACGTTCAGCTTTAAGCTTTCTGTGGCATCAAGTCTGGAAGAAAGTATTCACCTGATGATCATCTGCTGACCACCGGAACCGGCTGCAGCTCCAGAACAGAAGCTGAAGCTGCCCGAGTGTCCAGCAGAGCTCTGTGCTCTCAGGCTGCTGCTCTGCTGGTGGTTCCTGACTTTTTGAAGCAGATCTGTGGAACCAGTTTGGGTTCAGGAAGCAGGGTGGATAATCATCTTAAACTCAGCTTTGACACCGGCGGTCAGTCTGAGTTTTGAGATGTTCCGAGGTGATCAAAACTATGGTGGCCGGCAGGAATGCAAACCAAAAAGAACAGGTACCGACAAAATGAACCAGAAAGGGGACGTACCAACTCCAAGGCTGACCCGGAAGCAAATTTGGATTTTTTGTCTGTTTGGTATTTTGAAGTGATGGGTCGAAATGGGGTGTCTTTAACATGGGCTCAACAACAGATTTGTTTTAATGAAGCTAGGAAATGAGATCAATCATCTCTACATAGATTTAAAGGCAGGTAAAAAAAAGGGGGACCAAACGCAGCTGTGAGCTATCAGGAGTAAAAGATGAGAAACTGTCAGTTGGAGGCAGATTAAAGTCATAATGTTGAGGCAGTGATGGTAAATACCTGAACTGATGACCTGAACTCGTAAAATTCAAAATGTAAAATAATCTTTACACCCTCTCTCTGGACCAGGAAGATTGTTCTTTTTTTAAGCTATAACAGTAGCAAAATATCAAGTACATTTTTATTCAACCTGTCATTAAGGGATGATGACATTTATTCCTTCAGATGAAGGAATACATTTCTAAGATGGAAGTTTTCCATAAACACGACTCATTCTCACAATACGTCCTACAGTGGCAGACACCTTCCCTCATCCTGGAACAGTAAGTTGAGCTGTGGACGATGTTTTGTTTGAAAGGTGCCAGTGTCTGGCATCAAACATGCTGAACCTCTCAGCGGGCCCTTGCTGCCCCTCTTTCCTGGTCCAAGCAGATTGTGGGCCTTCCTGGTTCTGGTTCTGACAAATAGATGGACTGGACTGAAGAGAAACATTTGGACTTGCCACCTCCTCACCAATCTGACCAGAAGTTTATTTCCCATCCACACACACAGACAGAAGCAGCTGAAGAAGCTTGAATGGATCCTCTGTCTGGCTGCAAACAAGCAGCTTTGCTCAGCACTCACTCTGCCTGCTGCTTCTTAATCAAAGCTGGCATCACGGCAATTACCTAATTAGACACCAAATAATCCACAGCCCTCAGGTCTGCAGCAGTGTTTGACCTGTGGAGGCTGACAAAAGCTCTGACGACCAACACTGAAGGCAGATTAATGGAAGCTTTTTAGCAGATGTGTTGTATTCAAGAAATCTCTGCAAATACAGCTCTGTTTATTTAATAATTAACAGGTACAAAAATAATTGACTGAGATGTGAAAGCTTAATCAGGCATTTCAATAAGCAGGATATCCCCGTTGAGTCGATTAATTCAATTATGTAATTAAAGCCTATGGGGGAGAAAGCTGTAGAGCTGATTGAAGGTTAAACAGGAGGAATACAAGACATCCCTGCATTTAGTTTGTAATTTTATTAGACATAGCAATTTGACAAACAGCAGTTGGCTGGAAATTACATTCAAAATGTGCAGCTGACCATGCACAAACACCCCACACACACCTGCAAACAAAAACCCACCATGTTGATTTCTCCACATTGTGCATGTCCTCAGGTACAGAACCTAAACAGCCCCCGTCTCCTCAGCACTAGCCTCCACAGCTCAGAGGAAATGGCTCCAGAAGTCCATGCACCAGAACAGAGATGATGAGTCCAAGCAGCTTCGCTGAGGGGGGTTGGTGAGGTCACAGTTTACGGCTAACACTGGCTTAAAAATGGGGGACGAAGGGATTGATGGAGGAGCCTTAACACTGAGCATTGTTCCACCTGATTCAAAAACACAGAGAGCTCACATATCACAGACAAAGCTTTACAACAGGTACATGTTCAGCTCCTCCTGTTTGACAGGACACCAGTTCCTGGAGCCTCTGCTATGACCTTTTATTTACTGGCCACGGGAATCGGAGTGTGTGAAAACACACTTCCAACAAACAACAACAACAACGAGCACACACCATCACAGTTCTGAAGTGTCCGGCAGCCGGCTGAAAGGAGATGTTTGGAAGTTCAACACTTCAGTAATGAATGCATTTGAAGGTTTCCAGTTCATCCAGTTCAGTCACAGAAACAGGAAAACAGCCTGTTCCTCTACCTTCCAAAAATGTTCTCATACTCCAGTAGAATGTGCTCCACTATCTGGTTCTGGTACACCATGTGGACAGCCATGCTGCTGGTCTCCGTCTCAGGCCGCAGCAGGGTGGGTCCGAACACAATAGCCATGCTCTGAGTGGTCATGCGGTTGGTCTCTGCGTGGTCTGTCACCCTGGGGAGGGGGGGGGGGGGGGGGGG